AGAGAGAGAGAGAGAGAGAGAGAGAGAGAGAGAGAGAGAGAGAGAGAGAGAGAGAGACACCTAAGTGGTTTTATGGTCACATTCTCCAAATTTCAAGAAGTAGATCTCTCCCATGCTGTATATAGTTTTAAATCACTGAAAAAGAATTCTTCCAAATTTGTTTCACAAAGGTAACATAAACATGATAGCAAAATTGACAGAGAACAAAACTAGTACCAGATCTCATTTTGAATATAAGTATGAACATAAGCAATATACTAAAATATACTAAATATTCTTTTGCATAAATTTTTTTGGTAGTGCTGGRAATCAAATTTAGGGTCTCACACATGCTAAGCAAGGACTCTACATTCCTTATGTTTCTTGAGTATATTTGGTCCATTAAACATACTAACATATTATACAAAAAGAATAACAAAGACCTTGTATAATTTTTATCAGAAATGCGAGAATGGGTTAATATTATGGGGTTATCTCCTCAATTTTGAGTCTCTTCACATATATGTATGTATACATATATGTATGTATATATATAATATTTAATAAAATTCAGTGTTAAGTCCTGATTTTTTTCCCTTTTTTTTATTTTGAAATTTTTCAAAACAGTGGGAAAATTGAAATAATTACTTAGGAATAGCCTTAACCTTTACTTAGATTTACCAATTAACAGTTCATTACATTTTCTGCTTCTTTTGTCCCTCCCTCTCTTTTCCCAAATCTTTCTCTTATTTCTTTCTTTATATATTATTTTTTTGTAGAACTATTTAAAAATAAATCAGGTATTAGTACAGTTGACCATTAAATACTGCAGCAAATATTTCCTAAGAACAAAGATCCTTTTATATTTATCCAAAATTCCATTTCACACACCAGAAATTTAAAGAGTATATTAAATATCATAAAGATGTCAGTTTACCCATGATAAAATTATGAACTTAAGCATAATTTTAGACATATTTTTTCCAGGTTCTTATCTGACTTGACAAATTCAGGCGTTCTAGAATTCATCAAAAAATACAGATGCTTCTGCTGAGTGATACTGAACAGTTGTAATGTCACCAATTGTCACCCCTCTTGAAGACCTTTTCACTGTCTTTCCTAATAGGAAGAGAATAAAATCTCTATCTTTAAAAAAAAAAAAAAAATATATATATATATATATATATATATATACACACACACACACACACATATACAGATGCTTCTGGTCAGTTACATTTTTTAAATGAGTAATAAGGGGACAAGTGCACTGCCACATACAAACATGTATCATAAAGCTGAAATAGTTAAAATCATGTAGTAACTTAAACAGACATGAATAAAAAAGAATAATTCAGAAATAGACTCCAGCATCTATGAATCTATGAAAACAGTATCTTAAACTAATGAAAGAAAAAAGATTCATTTATCATTGAGCATATTAGTATTGTGCATTTAGTAGACATTGGTCACTCTTCTAGCCCTGGGGATATAGAATTAAAATGAACACAAACCTTTTTTTCTCATGGAACTTAAACTCTAATRACTATAACAGATGGGGAAAAAACCAAGTAAATTTTTGTGTTAGAAGAAATTGAAAATAGATTAATTGAATTTACTTTTAAGATAATCAAGGAAGGCCTCTTGATATGGTAGGTTTTGATCAAAAGGAAATGAGAGACATAGCTATATGAATTGAATATCTGTCTGTAGAGCACTCTGGCCTAGGGAATACACTGCAAAGGCTCTTAGCAGTGGGTGAATCTGGTTGTTTAAGAATTGCAAGGAGGCCAGTGGTGTTAGAGCAGACAGTACAGAAGAGAGGGGGGTTGGAAATCATGCATTCAGAGATAGTGTTGACTGTTGGATGCAGATCTAGTAGGGCTTGTTTTCATTAATTGCACTGAGGGGAGTTTAATTCATAACTCACATTATACACCAGTATAAGTCTCTGATGGTTTAAAGTGATAAATACTCAAAATGATACCATAAAAGATCACGAAGAAAATATAGTTGAGTAACTGATCTCAGATTGGGAATGGTCTTTCTCATTGTACCTATAAAAAAGATAAAGACCAATCAAGTTAACTGTTAATATTGAAAAGTAAATGGTAAAAATCTAAGTAAAGATTTGTAATAGATAACAAAAAATATTTAATGTCCTTAATACATAAAGGATTCATATAAATCTATAAGAAAAAGCCTAACTTTCCACAGGAAAAAAAATGAACAAAGAACATATTAGGCAAGTTACAGAAAAGGAAATACAGCTGGCTAATAAGTGTATACAGATTCTAAGCATTAACTTCTTTGGAAGTCAAGAAATGCAAAAAATAATAAAATACTATCTTATGTTTATTAAATTGACAAATTAAGAGAGGTAAAGGATAGTACTTGGACATTGATATTTCTTAGGGAAATGTAAAAATAGAACAGCTTTTTGAAGACCAGTGTAATAATATTTATCAAAACACCCTTAAAATTTATGTGCTGTTTAAATCAGTAGTCCCATATCTAGGAATATGTCCTGGGGGGAAGGATAGGAAGCAATGGGTCAAGATAAATTTATAATAGCATAAAAATTGAATATCAATTGAACAGCAAAAGGAGATATGGTTAACATATAGTTCCTTTTTAAAAATATTTTGTAGTTGTTAATAGACTTTATTTATTTATATGTGGTGCTGAGAATCAACCTAGAACCTCACATGTACTAGGCAAGTGCTCTACCACTGAGCCACAATCCCAGCCCCTACTTCCTTTGTAAATAGCATAAGATAGAGACAACTCTGTTTCTAAATAAAATACAGAATAGTGCTGGGAATGTGGCTCATTAGTCAAATACCCCTGAGTTCAATCACTAGTACCCAAAAAAGAAAAAAAAAATGATCATGTAGGAATGTATTAAATGGTATGGAAATGTGTATGTGAGATTTTAAATGAGCACAAAGGTTTTTAATAGACAAAATTGTTTATGAAAAAACGTTTGGCATGAATCCACTTTTGAAAAAAAAGTGTAGATAAAAAGACTTGAAGGATCTTTAGATGATAGGATTTATAATTTTCCTTTATTTATTTATTTATTTATTTATTTATTTATTTATTTATTTACTGATGCTTTTCTGTATTTTTCAAATCTAAAATAAAAACAGTTTTATGATAAAAAGAATTTATTCTTTAAGGGAAAAAGTTAATCCAGGACAGTTTTAACCATTGCTAAAATTATCACATTTAAAATGTACACTTTTATAGTGTGTTGCTATTGCACAATGAGTTGTGAGAACTAGAAACTATGAAACAAAATCAGTGCAATAATCTAATGCAAAGAGAGGCCATATTTCATTTAGTAAATGGAATGCCATCTTACTTCAGAAAGTAACTGAAAAACAAATAAAACTTACAGTACAACTCAAGAATTTTCAATGTTATGACACAGTTTAATAAAATTACTGATCTCCATACATGGTCATACAATCAATATAAATGGTTTTTTGGAGAGGAGAGACAAAACCACCTTCAGTCCAATTCTGAGAAAATTTCAACCAATAACAACCAAGCCATTTTATTCCCCTCTCTGCTTTCATCCATTGTTGATGGATACTTCTGTATATGTTAAGTGTATTCTAAAATGAGTACCTTAATTACAGAATGTGTGCACATTCAATAGTCAGGAATGGAAAGAAAAAGTGAAGATTATTATAATAAACAGAAAGCTGTGGTTGGAGTGAAGTAGAATGGGAATTAATGAAGTAAGGATAGGAGTGTACCTATGTTAATGGTCTCAAAATGTGGCTCAGCTTCAGAAACTTCCAGAGAGTTTTATAAAATATAGATTCCTGTGCCCCACTCCTAGATAATTTGATTAAGTAAAATTAGAACCAAAATAATTTTAGACCATGAAAATCTCAAGAGACTAAGATTATTATTCTAGTTCTCAGAAAGCTAGTAATGACATATCCATTACTTCTTCACCTCGGAAAGCATTTTTGTTGCTGTCCTATCCTGAACTGAAAGGTAAAAGATACCCCAACATTGAGTCTTGTCAATCTGTAATGTAGTTATAAGTGCTACAGTGGTCATTTTCAGAATTGTAAAATCTCAGTCTGTTCCTTTATTTATGTGAAAGAATAAAGTTCTCTATACTGGATTTTTTTTCATTTGCCTACACTGATGAAGAAACATCAGTCAGTGGCCATCTCCCCCTTTTCTTGATTCCATGAAAGTAGCTACTCAAATTTCATTTTAAAAAGGGAAACCTACAGCTTTACGAAAAGGAAAATTATTGGTTCTTCAGACCTTATCCAACTTTATGATGTTTTGGTTCTATATTATTACAGAAACTGGAGGTGAAAACAGATGCAGAGGTGGCATGGCTTATGCCTTTATCTGCAAGACATTCTTTCTAGTACTATATGGTAGCCAGATTTATGATACCTTTTCTAAATAGAGCAACATCTAGGACAATATGAACCTTTTAAAATTATACAATGGATCTGAATATATCAACTGACTGTTGAAAACAATGCAGTGACCTAAATAGTATTTCATGTGACATTAGCTACTTGTTTTTCAATATTTTTAAAAGACCATTAAAATAAATTTTAAATGCTAAAATGACAAAAAATATCAAACTTATTTAAAAAATGTGCTTTGTGAAAACTACTCCAGTTTCACAGGTTCAGAGCATGGAGTCTCTTAATATGTGACTCAGTGGGTTCTCACCAGCAGCAGCTCCATTTGTTCAGCCCCTACTCCTAGTACCTCCACCCCAACACCTGGTTTACTAGGGGGATACTTGGAAATGGGACATGTAGCTTATAATTCTCCACAAGCCCTATCTCTCTTTGAAAACATATGCAAACACTGCCCCCCAACCCCCGCAGTTTCTAGAGGCTTTGAACTTGACCTCTGCTGCATATTAGTGAAAACTTGACTGATTGAAGAAAAATAATGGCAACCCAAAGAAATAATGGTAATACTTTAAATTGTAAATAGTAACTTAAATCTTAATTGGTATAATCACTAGCATCAGGAAATGTAGTAAATTATAACCCTAAATGCTTAAAATCTTTTGTATGTAAATTATATTGTTTTTATGCAAACATAGTCTTATTCATCATCTGTTTTTATTTTATAGTCATACCCTATGGTTTTGCAGTATCGACCAAGAATTGATTTCGGTTAGACCAAGGGGCCTAGATTTCACTGAAATGAATCCTGCACTATTTGTTTACTCGTCAACAGATTGCACAGTGAACGGTGTTGGACTAGAGGGACACAGATTCTCAGCATGCAAATAAGGCCATTGTCTGTCTCTAAAATTGTCAGTTACATTCATGTTGTTTCTATTAAGAGCAAACCAAGTGCCATTCTGCTACTGATTCATCTGCATAAGGTATTTGTGCTGTCTCACAGTGTGCACGTCATGGCTGGAATCAGTTAGGTGTGCAGCCATGATTCATCCTTCTGAATATTTTGCTTGCCTGTTCCAAGATTGTTCAAATGTTTAATTACACTAGTAAAATGGCTCAATTTTCGTGGTGTTGCAGTTTTCACATACTTAACTATTTTATTCTTGTTTAAATAGGGTACTGTACAAGAACCTAATAATTATATCTTGAAATTATTTTGTATGGAACTGTATTTAGATAAGTGGTTTCTGAGCCACTGTCCTAAGTGTAAGAAATAGTTCATTCTTGAGTGTGCAAGTCCTTTTGTGAAGAATTCTAATTATTCTTTAACATTGGARCACATCATAATTGTAGACATTCTAAGCATCTCTGTGTAGTCTATCAATTTGCACAAGGAAGGCATGTTAGCCCTCCAGATCAGAAATGTAGGTGACTTCTTGGATAACCTAAGTTAGATTCACAACCATTCACAATGTTGGCAGCTGATCACATTTACTTCTAATAAAATTAATGTGTAAGTAAGGTTAATCTTTCATAATGCCTTATGACAAGCGGGTGCTGCTTCATGAAACTTCATTGTATAGCCCATTTGATGTATGTATCACTATGTTGTTGCTGTCATTTAATGAATGCTTTTTTTTTTTTAAACTGGCCTTAGGTGTATGTCATTGTGGCATGCAGAAGGTTATGTCTGATGATTTTAAATGTTAGGATTTTTAGAGCAGATAACATTTTATGGCTTCAAAATCTCAAAAACAGTTGTAGATTCAAACTGTTAGTTACCTGTCACATTTCCAAACCATCTGCATCAAATAAATTAAATACAGTGTAGTGGATAAACATGCTAACCAGAATTAATGGTTTAAGGATATTTTCTTTTAGATACTGTAGTAATGGGGGGATTATTGTTTTATTCATGATCTGAGTAAAGGTCAGAACTATGATGATGTTGGTTTTGCAGTTTTGTTAAGTCTTCCATTCATTTCAGATTAGTCTGCAAGTCAAAGTCTTTTTACCTTAAATTAAAAACTTTATTTTAAAGCTTTTAAAAATCACACTTTTTTCACCAAACCTCCTTGGAAATTGTTTTGTCAGTTGCTTTGAAACAACCTTGAAATTTGAAATTTAGGAAAAAAAATCTTGGAGATTAGGAGAAATTGTTTTAGAAACCTGACATGAGCACAATCTGTGTGTTACACACATAGTTTTTATACTGTATACATGGTAGCTGTGCTACATTTTCCAGTAACATGTATCACAGTTAACACCTCTGGATGTCAAAATGCTTCATAGAAATAAAACATTGTACAACTCTAAGAAATACACAATAGACATCTCAATTTTGCTGCATTTTACAATGTAAAAGCTTAAAGTTAATAATTATCTTTTACATATGTTTTATCAAGTCCAAAAGTCTGTATTAAAGTTTTCTGTTATTGTTCTGACTTTGGTGAAGAAGTTTACAGCAGTACTTTTTTAGCTTCATTTTGTTAGATTATGTGTGTTCTTGGAAGGGTTCATAAGCAGAATTTAAAAGGCAGTTTGTATTAACTATCAATGCTTGGAAAAGACCATTACACTCCTCCAAAAGACTGAATTTGTTCTTTAGTTACAGAAATTATTTTGCTGTACTGTGAAACCTAGTTCCTAGATATCCTTGAGAAATGTTTGAAATAATTATAAATGCATCACATCTGGATTAATGATTTAAGTATTTTACACATATAGAAGTCATTTTAAGTTACTTAACTCAAAATGAATTACTAGTGCATTTTGAAAACCACAAATGAGACTTGGATATTTTGGCTTCCTAGCCAAAACTTATGGCCATAAACTAGTTTTATATACAAGATTTCTTTAAATTTGACCCTTGCCTAATCATATGTTTCACTATATTCCAAGGAAATATATAGGAAACAATTATGGAATTGAGAATAGTTGTATATAAAATTATTTTATTTAATGTTAAAGCACTGACATTTTATTTAAATGCAATGACATTTGTGCCAAAACATGTTTTAAAAAAAAAAAAAACTTAACACAATAAAGTAGGGCATCAATTGTTATTTGGACAAAGGTTCACATTTGTTGATGGTCCTGAGTAATGTGGTATTGCCACTAGAGCCTCAACTTCTTCATCTGACCTCTTGGTGTGTCACCTATGAGTTTCTAAGTATGGGACTGCCATCATGTCCAGTAATACACTAAATCCCCAGTTAATTATTCCTTACATCAGGTCATAGAATTTGCAGGCAACCAGGTATAGAAAAAATGTATAGGCACCTTTTATGGTTAGCTTTTTAAAATAAGGTGCTAAAAACCAAATGCTTCATATTAATAATCTATAGGAGTAATATTGTGAATCTATAAAAATCAGAGAATAACCCTAAATTTACTCTTTAATCTGTTGTTTCTTAAGCAATAAACTGAAAAACTTTACTTCCATAAAATATTTTGTTATCTGTTTTATCTGCCTTAAAAATCAGATACAGAAGGGTCAAAGAATCTTGGATATAAAGAATATGGTTTATAAATGTCACATTAATTGAACTAATCACATCAGTTAATAGAKAAATCAAAACATGGCCTTCTCTCTAGATTAATAAGACTCCTAAGATGCATGAAAAAATAAACTTAAAAGGTTCACTGATGAGGTAATATTCAATCTTGGGTTTGGGTAACATCTTTTAACTACTTTTAGAAAAGTGTATTATTTCTTTACTCATTGAACATCATCTATCCCAAACTAATATGCCACATTTTATAAATGTAATGGGTTTGCTAAACTATATTTTACACTCAAATGTCACCTAAATTTGAACTGATTCTTTAAGGAAAAAAGTATGTTATGTTATATTGTGAACTGTTTAGCTTTATTGAATATTTAAGAGAAAGTGCCTCATTGCTAAAGTGCATTTCTGTTTTAGATTTACTGCATCAATTTTGAGTTGTCTGTATCTGTCTCTCATGAATGGTTTCATATCTAAATAGGCACTTGTAAATTAGTTTCTTTTTAAAGATTTTCATAAGAATATAGATATCACCAAAGACATTTTATTGTTAATTAATAATTGTGTTAGAGAGACAGTTTTAACAGTTTGGAGGTTGGAAGTTTTAGGTAGCAACTTGATTTTATATAGTTAGGCAATAACCTTAATTAATTGTTAAAACATCACCAAAGAAAGGCTTTAAACTGAATTTTCTTGGTGAGAAGGGTCAAATGCAGGTTTTTCTTGCAATAATCAGAGCACACTTCCTTTCAAATATTTTCACTGTTTTTCAGCACCATCTGACAGATTTTAGGAATCCTCAAACATGAGAAAGCGATAAACACATTTTTCTGAATGAAATATGGTAGAAATACTTTTTAAAGAAAATTGAAATTTTAAATTTTAATTTGAGAAGTCTTTTCTTCCATGGAGGTAGTATAAAATAAATCATACTTATTTAGCTGCCAAGTTCTTAGTAATATGAGAAATTTTCTTCAAGACAGACTTTGGTAAAAATGTTGACATCCTTACTTGTGAAGAAGATAGTACATTCTACTGGATTTATATAAGTGCTTTTTGAATATTCAGAAGCAAAATTTTCTTAAAGGCCTGTTTTTGTCTTGTTTTCTTAAAAGGGCCTGTTTGGTTTGTTTTCTTAAAAAGTAACTCTTTGTCTTATTTCTCAGCAGAAGCATTATTATTAGAATTTAGCTATACAAGAGCATCTATGTACATCAAGAGAGGTGTACTATTATGCCATTTCTCCTTCAGTTCATTCTGTGTGCCACCTTTCAGGTAAAACTCATTTTATGAAGTCTGTCTGATGGATCACTAGGTAAACCTCCTCGGATTGATTAAATGTGAATGTACACTCTTTTATGTACTGTGGACTATCATAAGGAACTTTCCAGCAGCTAAGCTTTATACCAGGTGTTGATTGATTATAGGAATTTCAAAAATGACTGAGTTTACCATAACTTTTCTTTCTGGATTAGAAACACAAAAACTTGAAATACTATTATCATTATTTTAAGATATATATCCCTATGGTTTAGAGACCAATAAAGAACATAACATGTCTGCTAGATCTGGTTTTGAAAAACATTAAATACACTAAAGACTCTGAAGCCCTTTCGAAGCACAAGATAAACAACTGTGTCTGGATTTACTTGATATACCTAGTTCAGTAATATTTTGGTGGAAAACATGAGATAAAGTTTATAAATGTTCTTAAACATACAGTATAGGGTTTTCATAGTGTTGGTTTTTTAAAAAGCAATGGTGGTTTTCCAGTAATTTAAAAGTGATTCTCTTCTTGTAACACAGTTTTCACAAATAGTATGTTTATTTGCTGTCCTTATTATATTTTCAAATAGAATTCAAATGCTTGAGCACTTCCTCTTCAGAAAGTTATAAAATTAAACTTAAAATAATTTGATCACTTTAAATGCTCATGCATATGTGTCTGTGTAGTCATTATGTCCTTTTTTCAGTGATTCAAAACTGAGACTGACTTTTCAGAAATGCTTTTAAATAGTTTTTAAATCTAGAATCAAGTGAAACATACATGTTATATATATTGGATCTAGTTTTCTTCCATCTTACAGAACTTCATGGAATAAGCAACTAATCTAGTACAAATGAAGATTAAATATTTCTGGGTATTGTAGAGATAGTAAAACAGTTTAGTTTATTTATCCATACACTTCACATCAATCCACTGGAGCAGGAGTTCTACACATTAAAATGTAATGGGATCAGCCTAACATTGTTTGAGCTCAGTTTTCTTTTTGCCATATTTTTTAGAATGGGGGTGGGGGCCTAAGTGTCCTTATGAAGCTGTGGTCCAGGACAAGAGCTTGTGGGGGGAGTATCAATGTTCCGCTGCATTCCTGCATCTGGCAACACAACAGCGATCATCTGTTTATATTAGGGTAGCCCTCACAATAAATAAAGCTATGATAGAATATATTGTAATGTTATGTTGCTAATTTTACTTTGAAATATGAAATATTTTAAGCTTTTTGTCAAAAGTGGTAACATCTTAATACAAATAAAAACCTTTTTGTGGTTGTAAGATTTAGCTTATAAATCATTCAAATTGAAGTGAAAGAATTACCAGGTCATTGTTAATGACTTAGTCTATTAAGAATATATGTATTTTTGTAAAGGAAAGCACTTGTAGATATTTAATCAGTACAAGATATATGTCTGTTTTGCAGAAGTAAAAAGCTGCTTAGAGATTCTCTTTAAATATTTTTTATTTTTGTGCTCAAATGTATTTTCTGTTGATCTATGGAATGTTCTGTACAAAGCTGTATGATTGTACTGTTGGGCTAGATACATTTTTTTTTAATCTGGACTTAGCCAAGTATATTTGACCATGTTAAAAATAGTATCTTTGTTATTAAAATTTTGATTGCATAATTTGTTGTTTGTTGTATATTTAATATTATCAACTGTAGATTGCAGCCTTGGTTAAAAATGTCTCCTTTAAGTACTGCTCCTGCAGCAGATTTTATTGAAATTCATTGTGCACTTGAGATCTGAAGCTTTTTCTGAAGCTTCTTCAACTATTTAATTTTAAGGTAGCAGACTGCCCTTCAGCTAATTCTTCAGGTGTCTACACCCAGAGAGAAGAATTTTGTTTTGTTAGATTAATCAAACCTAATAGAAAGCAATTGGAGAATCAAAGAAAGGATTTCCTCCTTCAGAGAACTTGGCTTGTTTTTTTGTTTGTTTGTTTTGTTTTTAATACCCTCCATGTACACTTAGCTGGGGATTTTTTTTTTCTTTTTTTTGAGGCTAAAGCAAGACCTTTAAGTCAGGAAGGCCATGAGGACTTATCTCTGCCTTATTGTTAATTAGTGAAACCTCCAAGGTGGCTGGAAACCCCTGCCTGCAGTAAGATATGGAAAGAGCTTTCCCAGGAGCAAGATTTGGCTTCCTTTCATCTTTTGCCAAGGCTGCTGCTTGATGGGAAGATTGTCCATGAGAAGTGCTTGGAGGCAGGACACCTTCCTTTCCTCTCATGTCATTAGCCAGTCCTTGGCCTGACCGTGAGGAAGGCTGGAGAACACTGTGAAGCCATGTCCCAAGCAGAGGAAGAACAGTTTTGTAACTGACCAATTACACTTCTACACTTCCATTTGAGAAAAGGGATCATACTTTACGCAGGTCTTGAAATGTTTTTGTGAACACACGCTCAACTTTGATCTCTTCATCAGTTTCAAAAGATAGGGAGGGGTCTTGTACTCAGGCTAGGCCATAGAAGCTCAGCCTTATAACATAGCAGGGCAATCTGCAGGTAGTATTTTTCTGGAAGCCATGTAAAGCCCTGCTTAGCACCCAATTCCCTGCTGTGGAATTCGGGGTTCCAGGATTGCTATCGTAAAATTCAAATGGAGAATCATGGCCAGAAAGAATAGGCAGCAACACTACCCAGTGAAAATTAAAAATAAACAAAGCCTATTTCTTCGTAAACTGTGGCCTCATTCCAAAGCTCTGCTCCTCTTATAAATCCCTATTCTTTTCTATAAAGCCCTGTTCCTTAAAATCCCCAGATCCTCCTTACAAATCCAGCTCTTCCTACAATGTCCTGTTCCTTCTTTAAACCCTACTCCCACCAAGCCTTGTTCCTCCTACAAAGCGCAACTCCTCAAATAGCATCCTGCACCTCTTACAAAGACCTAAGCCCTCACTTTCAGTACAAAGCCGCACTCCACCTTCAAAGCCCCACCAATAACAACATGCCCTGCACTGTTCCTCCTCCCAAAGCCACAGTCTCCTTTAAGAATCCCACTCCATCTAACAAAACCCCATATTCCTTACAACACCCTGCTTATGCTACACCTAACACCCCTGATAACTACAGGCCCTGCTATTCCACAGGGTTTCCTTCCATATAATCCCTGCTCCTCCTGCAAACCTTATTCTTCCTTGTCCAGCCCTTCTCTTCCTAAGAAACAGACTCCTTCTTAAAAAATTTAATTTTCCCTACCAAGCTTTGCCCTTCTGCAAACTGCTTTTCCTTTCAAAGGCGAGCTTCTCCTACAGAGCACCCTAGGAGTGCTCTGCACTCCTAGAACTCTCTCCTTTGATAAGGATTGCCTTCCTATAAGCCATGCTCCTCTTTCCAAAACCCTGCAATGGTGTGCCCCTCCTATAAAGCCCAATACTAAGCCCTGTTCCACTTTAACAATGCTCTGTGCCACCTAGAAAAGGGACTCCCACTCGGAAACCTTGCTGCTCCTAGAGAGCTTGAGGCCTCTTAAAAAGCCATGCTTCTCATTAGGGAGCCCTGTTCCTCACAAAACCTGCTGGTTGTACAGAGCCCTGCTCCTCCTTACAAAGCCCTGTCCATCCTATAAACAGCTAGGCCTCCTGAAAATTCCCCTACTACTGACAAATTTGTGCTCTTCCTTACAAAGCCCCACTCCTGCTTACAAAATCCAGCTCCTCCATGCTACGCTTGATTCCTCCTATAAAGCCTGCTCCTCCTTACAAAYACTGCTCTAGCCACAAAATCTACTGTTCCCTACAAAGTCCTCTTCCTCTTCAGGAAGCCTGCTGCTTCTGTTAACAAATTCCTGTTCCTTACAAAACCCTGTTTGTCCTATCATCTCTGTCCCTTCTACAAGGTCCAGCTCCCTCTTATAAACCTTTGCCCCTCAAACAAAGCTCTGCTCCTCCAACAAGCCCCAGTCCTGCAAGCTGACTCCATGTGCCTATTCAAACAAACAAAGACAAAGCCCCATTCAAAGCAGGGAGCCCTGCTCCACCTGACAAAGCCCAGGTATGGATCCTCTTAGGAAGCCCTTTTCTCCTAGAAACTTCTCCAACTTCTACAAACTCCTGTGCTTTCTACCAAGTCCTACCCTCCTTATGAGCCCTGCTCTTTCTACAAGACCCACTCTACCTTCAAAGTGTTCCTATTCTTTATGACACCCTGTCCTTAAAAAGCTCAGATACTCCTTGCAAAGCCCTGCTTCTCTTCACAAGGCTCACTCCTATTTTAAATGCCCTTGTAGGGATAGTGGGGTACTCCTGTAGTCTAGCTACTCGGAAGCTAAGATGGGAGGATCCCTTGAGCCTAGAAGTTCAAGATCAGCCTGAGCAATGCTGGTCTTGAGACCCTGTCTTGGGGAGAGAAAAAAGAACTAAAACGCCCTGCACGTTACAAAGGCCCCTTTCCTTCTTAGAAAGTCCTGGTCTTCCTACAATCTCCTGCTTCTACTTATTTACAAAGCCTGTTCCTTTTACATGGCCCAATCCTTATCCCACTTCCTCAAGGGGGTGGATCCATATTTCCTCCCTCTTGCACATCACTTGGGACTTTTATCACAACCAGTCACTGATGTCTTCCCAGGAGATGAGTTTTGAAAAGGGATGTTGACTTGGTCGCTGTGGCGTGTCCCTCACATTCACAAACACATAACTCTTGCAGAGTAACAGGCCAGTAAACAGTAGTGACTGACACRACTTCAGAAGGAGGAGCAAAGCCCATTCCACTTCCTCCAGCTGTCTCCTTCCCTGGCACTGTCTGTACCTCTTACTTCAGAATTTGCACATGGTCAGTAGGAAAGGTGTAAAGGTGCCAAGTGGAAATCTTTTCAGTTTAAAAATAAATACTGTTTCCTTTGTGTAAGATCCCTGTAAGTGTGGTGAGGGCAGATCTGCCTTCCTGTTCCCACCACAACCCCAGCATTACCTAACACCTGGAAGTATTGGGGTGAAGAGGGGAGACATGAACACATTCCCTATCCAAGCTGTGGGCCAGKCACTGGACCTGAGGCCCCCGAGACCTTTTGTTTGGTCATGGTTCCCATTGTAAGTAGGTCAGTCAGTCATGAGCAGGGGATAGGGAAGGACAGTAAAGGGCCGTGACACAGGAAGACACCAGACCTGGGCATCACAAAACCGCCCACAGGGAGCCTCATCAAGACAGGTGAGCATCTGGAAAATGGGAGCCAAAGTGTCCAACCTTCCAAACCCATAGTTAATTATAACCCCTTAAGGGAACTATGACTTGAAATCTTGGGAAACTTTGCTGAAACAGATAAGCTTCAGGGGATGTGGTGTCATAGTTAATTATCACCCCTTAAGGGAACTACTGGTTCTAGAACATGTCACCATCCTCTCTGGTGATTGGTTCTCCAGGACACCCTCCCTTATCACCTAAACCATGTCACAGCCACCCTTTGTGATTAGGTCCCATCATGGCCCTCACATATGAAAATTGCTAAAGGTCATACAGGGAATGATTAACCATTTATGGGGGTACAAGAGAACAGAAAGAGGCCCAAAACCCTCAAACCCCTTAAAAACTCCCAATTCTGTTGAGGGCCACACCGTTCTCTTTAGAGATGGTCCAGGCCACTCAGTGCCTACACTGTATGCTTCTCTCTCTTATTCTCATTTTCCCAAATAAACTCCTGCCTACTTTGATATGGGACTTGAATGAAACCTTTCCTGCAAAATCACAAGAAGTGGTGGCCGTAGATTTCCGCGGTCCCTTCAGCTCTGCAGGCGGTGGGTTTCCTCAGCAACAACATGATGGTGTCGCAGAGCTCCCTGCCAGCTCTCTCTCCTCTCTCCCTTTTTCACTCTTCCTTTCCCCTTCTCCAGAAATCAGCTCAGCCAAGCCCTCAGTACCTAGGTCCTAGCAGGAGCAATGTTGCTGCATGTTTGCTGAAGAGCTCAGGCCTGAGGGGCTCAGCCATGCAGGGTGTACTGCCCTGGAGCTCATGGCTCCCTGCCTGTCCCCAATTCTATGTCCCCAACCCCAGATGGCTGACTCACAACCACAGAGCAGCACGAACTCCCCTGGAAAAAGGAGCAAAGACAGAAAGTCGGGATAAAGCAGTGGAATCCATTTGGCTCTTAGGGAAAGCAGAATCCATTATTTCTATCTTCCTTGCTCTCTCTTCGTTTCTGCTTTGTTTTTCCAGTTTCATTATCATCTCCTACATTTCTCTCTCCTTATATTTTCTCTCCTTCGAATTCTTTCCTTCTCCTTTTCTTCTCTACCTTGCACCTTTAATTTCCTACTCCCCTCTTTTGTCTCTTCTTTAGTCTCAGCCACTTCTAACCTCCTCCTTTCCTTTTCCCATCTKTTTTTTTATTCTTACCTCTCTTTTCTCCTCATTTATGTATCCTGTGCCTTTCTGTCATTTCCTGAATTCTCTCCATATGCTCTCCTTCTTTCTCTTTTTCCCTTCTCTCCTCCTCTTGCAGGTCCAATTCTTCTTTTCTTCTGGTCTTCTGCCCTCCCCCCAGGAATCCCCCTGCTTGGAGGATGATTAGCTGGAGAACTACCTGCCATTTGCTAAGCCAGCGTGTGCCCCAGAAGACCTGCCATGTGTGTCACTCCTGTGGTCAAAACGCCCTTTGGGGGCATCCACCAAATACCAGGCTCTGCAC